AAATCTATGCCCAAAACCAACATAAAAAATAATTAAATAGATGACCCTTTTGTCTGAGTAGCAAATAAGTAGTTCAACCATCTGCGTCAAATGGGTCCACCAATGTTCTCACAGTTAAATAACAAAATATTACAAAATTATAAAAAATGTGAAAAAAAATTAGGCACATCTCTAATATTTTCTATTTATCATATCAAACAACATTAAGCATGCTAAATAAAAGTAACTTTTATTCGATGGAAAAGAATTTTAAAACTAACCCAAAACAAAACCATTTTCCTATTCAAGTGGTGGGTCACTGATTCAACTTTTAGGTCAAATGGATCAAGCCATAATATCATCAATAAATAATAAAAAATTAAAAAAAATAGAGACGCATAAATGATTAAAAACCTAAAAATTTTGCAAAAAAAAAATTGGCTGCATCTTTAATATTATGCATTCATCATATTAAACAAAAATAAGTGTGATAAATAAGAGTTATTTTTATTAACGATAGAAATAAGGGTTAAAGTATTGGTATCGAGTATCATATTGGAATGCTTGGATACGAATATGGATACGGATATGAATACACTTTGGAAACGTATGGATACAAATGAAAAAATATGGAAATGATTGGATACGTTGGAAAATGCATATCAATTTCATAAATATATTAATAACATTATATTTAAGGTCAAAATAACAATAATTAATGTACAAATACATAGGAAATGTATATTCTAATGGTATTTGTGAGGAAATACATTGCAATTAATATAATCGGATGAATAAAAACCTCATAATTTTATTGATAATGTATCAATCAAGAGTCTTATAACATATTATATATTTTTACAAATTAATGCATGAACAAAGCTATTATTATGTTATTTTCTATTGAAATTCAAGGCACAAAACGTATGCAAATATTATATGTGAATTTTTATATCAATTATTTTTTGTTTTATTATTTTTATTTTTTATCATTAGGAAAAAAAGTCAACTAAAATTAATTATTAAATGTTTGGTAAACAACCTTTTTATTTTTATAAACAATAAACATGTTATTATAAAATGTAATTAACATATCAATTAATAATTTATAAAAATATATAATCTTAATTTAAAATATATCAAATATATTAAGGAAAAATTTCCAATTAGTACCTTGTACTTTGGGCCTAGTTCCACTTTGCTCCCCAAACTTTAAAATGCAACAATTCAATACCCAAACTTTCAAAACATGACAATCCAATACTAGCTATTAACCAACTGTTAAGTGGCTTTTGAAAAAGACACAATGCCCTTTGAGTGTCATCTAATTTTCTTTATCAACCATCCAAACATTGACAAAAAATTAACATTCTCAAATCCTTGCCTCTTCTACTCAAGAAAGATGGGGTCATCAAGAAAATTAAATAACACTTGAAGGGCATTTGTGTCTTTTTCAAATTCCACTTAACAGTCCGTTAACAGTTAGTTAACGGTAGGTACTGGATTGTCATGTTTTAAAAGTTTGGGTACTGAATTGTCGCATTTTAAAGTTCAGGGATCAAAGTGGCACTAGGCCCAAAGTATAGGGTACTAATCAAGAATTTTCCCATATATTAAAATTTCTAAGATACATATCATATGCAAATTCTTAATTTTTAATTACTAAAATAATTATTTCATTATCAATATTTTATTTTTATAAATTATATAAAATAAAAATCATTTTTGAGCCAAAAATTAGTTTAGTTATTTGACAAATTTAATTTATATTATATTCTTGACTATTTTGTAAATAATATTTTTATTTTTATAAATGATATATATTCTTTTATTTAATTCAAATTAAAATATTAATTAATAACTTATAAAATTTTATGATACATATCACATTCAAATTTATAATTATTAAGTAATAAAATAACTATTCTATTATTAATATCTTAATTCATATAAATTTATTGAGATTAAAAACCACTTTTTGATATAAATGTGGATTTAAGAAATTATTTATTCTATTAGTTTACAAAATATTAGTTTTGAATATTACCTTTTTATTTAGTTGGAGTTGTTGAATACATATGTATGTGATTTGTCTGCATTCCATGTGGACACTTTTAGTCATAAGGTGAAAGGTGGCCTAGTGAATCAAGGGCACGATTAAGGCTTTAACGTTGGTGATTTGGGTTTGAATCATGTTAGTTGCATTTTTTACATATAAATGCACGATTGAAAACATGTCAATCCATATGGACTATGGAGTATCATAATATATCACCCATGCCATTGCTATATTTTAGATAAGATAGTTTCGATTTTCGGTCCTCGACTTGGGCCTAGGCCTAGGTTCAAAAGTTTGGACTCTTTTATTTTTTAGGTTGGGCCCAAGCCTATCCCTTAAGTAGCAAATACATACCATCATAAATACATATATAGCACATATTTGCATTATACAATAAAACACATATTTTATGACAAATTTTGTCATGGGACTAACTAATAAATCCAAGTCCAAGACTAACCCAAGTGTATCAAATTTCAATGCAGGTGGGAGGTTGGGCCCAAGTTGAACAAATTAGACTTAACTTTGGTACGAAGCATTAGGTCTAATGCAAAATGGTCCAATTGTTTGGGCAAGTGGGTTAATCAATGATTTCATAATTAAATAATAATAAATTAAAAAAATAGATAGAAACACAAAAATTAAAAAATACATAAAATTTTTAGAAAATTTTGAGATATCTAAGATATTATAAGCTTATCATATCAAACAAAAATAAGTGTGATATTGGCCCAAAATGAGATTGCTTCTTTTCAAGTCAAATAGGTCACCACTTTGTGTCATGATTATATAATAAAAAATAAAAAATAGATAGAAATAAAAAACTATAAAAAACAGAAAAAGTTGTGCACATCTCTAATATCATACATTTAACATATTAAACAAAAATAAATATGATAAATAAGAAGTATTTTTATTAACAATAAAAATGAAATTTAAAATCTAAATACCCCATCACACCATGCTTTTATTATTTATCATTTTTAAATGGTTCTAGTAAGGACATTGAAATTATTAATGTTATTTGAAATTACCACGTGCAATGCACATGCATATTTACGAGTATATATATATTTCAAAGCTTATAGTTATGATGAAAATCTTGTTCGGAAATATCATTTTTGGTTAACTCATTGTCATTTTTTCTTAATCTTTTTGAAGGAAAGCGAATGGACAAAACACCAATAAGGAGAAACCTATGATGCATCTACCACACCGTGCAACAAAAAGACATGATTGATTGAATATGATAGTAGACTTTATTAAAAATTAATTGTGAAAATTCATTTTGTGAAAAATGAACAAATAATTAGTGAGCCATCATAAATATGATTGGTTGAGATCCGATTTAATATGCAGAATGCAGCCAATATTAGTAAATGCACCATAAATCATCTCCAACAAATCAATCAAAGGAACCATAAAATGAAAAACAATCCTGCTCAAGAATTTGAATGGGTATATCCAACTTGCAATGTTCTTATTAGTTAAATCCTTATTAAACAAGCTTAAATCGACAAATTCAAGCTGGCTATGAAACCAATCCTCCTCCCCTAACAAAATTAATTGGTTTCCAATTGGACAAAAGAAGTATTTCCACTAAAGCTCATTGATTGACAGAGCCCTTCCCATAAACAGCACTTTTCAATAAAAAAAAACCCTCAAAGAGAACATAACTGCTCACCACCTTGGAGGAATAAAGCTGATGTGGAAACGTGGCCAATCCATAAGAGTCTATCAAATCAAGGGTCATGTCTGGTCAATTCGTCACCCAATTGCCCTAAGGGGTCGTCTATGGGCGCCCAAAGGGACACCCAGGGGCCGCCCCCATAAAGCCTGTCCCTTGCAAAACCCTCAAAGCAACACCGTAGCCGTTGAATGGACTTTTGCCTGGTTAGCAACCTTGGTGCATTAGGAGATGCCGTGATGCCAGTACGAATATGCTACTTGCTTTGTACATCCATCGATGATTGATACCACCACCATTACAGGGGCATTATTGTCAATAAAGAAAGATGTAAGGGCATTTTGGGGAGATCGTTCGAAAGCGACGTGTCATTGCCTAATTGGTTGGGCCGAGAATTTAATGCAGCTGCTTGGACCCAGGGGGAAGGAGAACGCACCGCGAGGTGTCAACGTCAGAGGACAAAAATGCCCTTCGTAGTCGTCACCATCTCATCAAAACATGTGACGTATTCCAGATGGCGCACCAGTAGAGGGAGCGTCAGACTGACACGTTTCGTTTCGTGCGGATATGATGGTCGACATATGCCCCTCAACGCTGACGTCTCTCGTTTCGTCTCTTGTGCCACGTAATTGGTTTCACGTTTCTTTATTCTCATTAATTTTATTTCCTTTTCTAATTGATAAAAAATGCTGAGTTGCTAGGCTTACGATTTCTTTTTGTGCCTTGCAATTTGCAAATCATCTTGCACCCCAGATTTGGAATATCGTAAATTCATCTCGTATGGTTAGCATTTTTGGCTATTACACTGTAGAAGCACAGTACTATCATACTATGAATCGTACTGGGCGCTCAAAGGTACTCCGCATCTAAAGGGTCCTTGTTGTCCACGTAATAGGTATCAGTAGAAAAGTCAAGGAAACATGGGGCCACTGATCGGACGGTGGAAAATGGAAGTGGGGTTTGGAGGAATGGTAGGAGTTGGGGGTAGGGGATAAAAGCTGACAGAGTGGGGCTTTCAAATGAAAGAGAGATTAAACAAACGAGCGTCGCTGTCGCGGGGAGGAAGTACGGACGGATGAGTCATGGACTAAAAGTTAAGCGGGGGGAGGGAAAAAAGAGAGAAAAGCTAATAATTTGGTGATCCGCACGAACGTGTCAAATGGGGCCCACTCTCTCAGGACGGGAGGGGCTTCTGGGGCCCACGAGACAGGGGAGGGGAAACGTGGGGCCCACATCTGGGGTTGGGTTGGGTTGGCTGGCTGGCTTGCTTTGGCTCTGCCCATCCCACTTCGTCCTTTGTCTTCTCGTCAGTCCTCTCCCTTTCTCCTGTCTGACGCACCACCGGCGCCGTCAGTTTGTCTCAGACTTTTCATTTTCTCTCTTTCTCTGTCTTTCTCTTTCCCTTTCTATCTCGCCGTCGCTCTCTTGCGGGAAGAAAGTGGAGATCTGGTTGGGTGGCTGCCAATTTAAAGGGTTTTGAGAGGGCCGCTGTGGTGGACTTAGACCGACTCCGGGGCAGCTTTTTCTGGTCAAGTTGTTTTGGATTGACTGCATCCCGATTTTGGACCAGGTTCATCTCTATCTATGTATCTGTCTCTGTATCTTTGTTTGGTTTTTTTCCCTTTTCTTCTTGAAATGGGTTTTCATTTCTGGGTTTGTTGTTGAGTTTGGGTGGTTTAATGGATTGAGGAAGTCAAGTATGGATGTTTTGTAGGGGTTTGTGGAAGCCGGAATGTTTTATTTTGTTAGGGTTTCATTTCAGGTATAACTCCAGTTTCGTGAACTTTTTGGAAGGTTTTAAGATTCTTCTGTTTCTCTCTCTCTCTCTCTCTCGCTCTCTCTCGCTCTCTCTCGCTCTCCACACACACACATGTACAGTGAGAATTGGGGTTTGGAGGGTGTTCTAGTTTTGTTCTCCATGCTTTTGTTCTGTGAAGGTTGAGGTTCTGGCTTGGCTGAGAAGTATTATTTGGTTCTCTGTATGTTTTCTCCAAGTAAGAATTGAGGCCCTGCGGATCTCGAGTCTGGTAGCTCGAATTCTTTGTTAGATTTGTTTTATGGATGAGCTTGATTTTGATTTGTTTCAAGCTTTCCTCTTCCTTTTCTTAGGTAGATATCAAGTGGATTCTGGACATGCCTAGTTGACTATGTGGTTGCTGGGTATTAATGTTTCCAAATGAATTAAGATAATAGGGTAGAGAGTCTAGGCTGTCCTCTAGTGTATACTTTGAGCATTTTGGGTACCCTCTTTTCTGCGTTGTTTGCTTAAGCAGTCACTGTAATATTTTTGCTGAGTCGGAGACATTAGCATGTCGTGTGTTCAGTTTGTACAGTTGCAGGTAAATAATTTTTTTAGCTAAATAATTGATACCTCTTATAGCTTGATAATTAATTCATAGTGTTCTAGTTGAATGGTTAATGGGGATTCTATTGAGGAAGTGATGCTTTGATTTTGTCCTTACATCAATCAAATTTGTTTAAGATAGTCAAGAGTCTGCTTTAAAGGTGAATGTGCTTTTCAGGATTAAAATTTGAGAGCTCATGGATGCAGATCGTCAGAATTTCCAAGTTTTATTTTATTTTTTATGATGTGATTAAAAAAATGTATAAAACCATGCACTTTCTGGGTTGCTTGGCTGGGGGATTTGTTCATTTTGCTTTTAAAGTTGGAAAGTTGGATTATTTGGTTATAGCTTCCCATCATCAAAGGCAATATCTAAAGAAGAAAGTGATACATGAGAACAGAACCTCTTGTTTTTATCTCTGATGGATGAGGACATTTTGAGTGATTTATCATACACTCTATTGCAATTCTAGCGCATTCAAATCATTCTGAGTTTGACTAAGACCACACATTTTCCTTTGAATATCTTTTATATTTGCCTTTTAAATTTTGCGCCGTTGTGTTAGGGTTTGTAATTTGTATGTGCCCTCTTCACCTCATAGATCACCGTGACGAAATGCCTTCAGTTTGAACTGATGTAGGAGCATCTTTCTTTCTTTTATTCTTAGTTTTTTATCAGTAGGAAGGATTCTTGTTTCGTTGCTATAAAAATTATGAGCATGATGGAAATTGTTACAAGTTGCAACAACCAATGGAAAGGTTTGACAGTTTTTTCCCCTTTTTATTGTTACATTTATTATAAGATCTGGCGCAGTTCTGGATGAGGTTGAATTCTTCAATCAGCAGGCCTTAATAGTGTACTTAAGGATACTTGCCTATTTGCAGTTGACTGATTAGTTTCCACCAACTAGTTTGGCTATTCCAATATGGAGTCAATCTGTTGATACAATGTATTTTCAATGTGAAGTAAGTGGTTTTAAATATTTGAGTTGGTTTTAACATACACTTGCTAACTTGGCACGAAATAGGCTGTAAGATGTGTGCATTTCCTGAATCAGCAAGCCTTAATGGTGTACTTAAGGATATATGCCTATTTGCAGTTGATTAATTGGTTTCCACCAACTAGCTTGGATATTTTAATATGGAGTGAATCTGTTGATTCCATGTATTTCCAATGTGAAAGAAATGGTTTTAAATATTTGAGTTGGTTTAAAACTTGTACACTTGCTGTCTTGGCATAAAATAGGATGTAAGATGTGGATTTTTGAAAATGGGCGAGAACCTGTATAAGCCGATGTGGAGTGTGAAGATATATTAGTTGGTGTCAACTGTCAACAAGTGCATTGACAATTGATGTAGAGAATTTTCATTCCCCTATAACTTGGGATTGGCGTTAAGGGTTGGTATTGACTTGTTTTCCTGGTTTTATCTTCATGGGATGTATGTTTGGTGGCCGCTTCATGTGGAGTGTGAAGATATGACATGAAAAATGGTGTCATATATGAGTTAGAGATGACATGAAGGGTTTACATGTGGTTGTGATTTTGCTGGACTGGATCCTAAAGGGAGTTCCTTAATGATGTATACAGTGGTGTATTCATAAATAAATCATATAATATTTGCTGGGGCAGCGGAGGTGGATGTTTCATATATGAGTTAGAGATGACATGAAGGGTTTACATGTGGTTGTGATTTTGCTGGATTTGATCCTAAAGGGAGTTCCTTAATGATGTATACAGTGGTGTATTCATAAATAAATCGTATAATATTTGTTGGGGCAGCGGAGGTGGATGTTTCATTATGGCAAAGTAGCAAGAGGCTTAAAAGCCTTTGAGGGATGGTGGTTGTGTTTGGCTCTCCTTTTGTCACAATTGCTTGACCCCTCTACAGACACCATGGGGAAATATTGTGCTTGGATGTGAAACATGTTTAAGGCTACAGGCATTACCCAGTAGAATTGGAGGGTCATTTAATGTTCCTGTAGGATCAAATCATCAATATTCTCTTCCAAATGATTTGCATCTTCGAGGACATTACTGAGGAAATGTCCTTGAAGGAAAAGAAAATGATATTACTAAGTCAGTGTGGTTCCAACAAGGTGCACTTCATCTAGGGTGGAGTTATGGAAGTTTAGTATGGACTCTGTAATGGCTAAGCTCTTATTTGGTATTGCTCTCTACTAGACTCTAACGTTTATCACTGATCAGTGATTTCTGGTGGCATTAGTTTGCCCAATAAGCAAACTTATAGTTGTCTTTATTTGATGAGGTTTAGGTTTCATGATTATGTTGTATGTTGTATGTTGTTGTACTTTTGTTATCTAAGCCTTGACAACACGAGGCATGAGGGGGCTAGACAACATGAGGGGACACTATCTTGGACAAAAATAAGTGTCTTAAAGACCTGTTACCATGCAAGTGTGCAATCAAGGATTGAGACACCAAAAGAACTTGGGATTGTTCAGGATAATCTAGCCATGTGCAACACAGACTGATTCAGCCCAACTCAAGAAGATTATGGGAATCTTGTAAATGGATATTCACACACAGTTGGCAAACCCGTGTTGTTCCTCCTGGAGCCCAGCTCATTGTCTGCATCCTCATAGAAGATTCATGAACTCCATACTTGAAAAGGGAGGTATATCTGCAGCTGAGAATTATTCTTGGAGATGGGGATATTGGTATTTTTTGAGTTTTTTAAATTTATTTTCTACTTTGTAGGTGTCATAGGAAGACGGTTTTAAGTCTCAGAAATTTACTGTTCCTTGTAAATTGAAATTATTATTTATTGCAATTTCAGATTTACTGTTTTTAGTAATTCTTGTAATTGCTCTATATAGTAAAACCATGATTAACTATTTTTAATAATTTCTGCTCTCTCTACATTTTATTAGGATTAGTAATGAGATATTGGAGATTTTTTAGGAGTAAGGGTCCTTATTTGAGTGTATTAGTTACTTGTGGGGGTTTGTCTTAGTTCTAAAACAATTAGAACCTAGAAGTTGTTATGGGTCATCTTTTGAGTCCAAATTGGAGTTTGTAAAGGGACATCCAAGTTCCTATGTAAGTCTATAAGTGGTCATTAATTGAAAAAGAAGAGTTGATTTGACAAGTTTTCTTTAGTGAATTCTAGTTGTTGCCAGGTATTTTTCTCTTTCTTTTTCTTGTCTCAACTATTTTGTCTTCTAAGCATTCTATCTCTCTACTGTTTACTATAACATCAAGATTTTTCTCCTTTCTAATCTCTAGTTCATTCATTAGTGGACAACAAGCTTTCTACTTGCTTCTCCATCTCTATTCTTTATCATTAATCACCTAAATATCCTTTCACTACCCCACAAAGCTGAGCTGTTTACCTGGTCAGTCAACAATCTGGTGACTCAACTAGTTGAAAAGCTTAACATTTTGACCTGGTCAATGTCATGACCCTCATGGGTCAAATATTAACTATCTTTTTTCTTCTTTTTTTTGTAACTTTAGCCATTTTCATTACTAATAAAAATATTTTTTATTTACACATCCCATCACAAGATCTGAAATTTGTACAACTCTCTTTTTTTGGTAATGGGCTACCCAACAAGGGGTAGCCCTTTCCCAGACCCCTATATACCCCTCCTCCCATACTAGGTGAAGGTGGGACTTAATCCCATGTCTTTGCTACAAGCGGCCAGAGACCAATGATTTAAAAGGCACGCCTAGGTGCATAGGCGAGGCGCATTTCAAGGTATGCGCCTCACCTAGGTCCTAGGCGCAATCCTTTTAAAAGGCGCATGCTTGGTGCGCCTCAGCCCAGGCGTGCACCTTTTGAAAATTTGACGCTTTTTTGCCTTTTTGAACATAGCGGCTAGGCTGGGGGCCGCCCTTGGACCCCCGTGCCACGCCCCTCGAGGCAAGCCTAAACAAGTCCATGTTAGCTCTTAAATTCTTAGTTTCCACACAAAAATAAAACTAAGAATTTAAGAGCTAATGTGGACTTGTTTAGGCTTGCCTTGAGGGGTGTGGCACAAAGGCGGCTCGTAGAATCAGGAATGTAATATGTTTCATTACATTAACTACGTGAAGTAATGCAATTGAGTGAAAAAAGAGGTTGGAGGTTTTAAATGCTTGAAAATGTTTTATATGTTTGATTTTATTTTTAGATTCTCATTTGAATATGCTTTACATAATTACATCTTATGTTTATGTATTTTAATTTTAGATAATAGGTTTTTTAAAACATTATTTTAAACTTTAAGTTTATATTTTTTATTAATATTATGCTTAGTTTTTTTTTTTTGAATTTTTGGCATTTTTTTGAATTTTCTGACTTTTTTTTTTTATTTTTTAGCATTTTTTTATAATTTTGCGCCTTGCTTCAAAAAGGTGTGCGCCTCAGGCACAAATTGACCCTTGCGCCTTGCGCTTTTAAAACACTGCCAAAGACTTTACTGGTAGACTATCTGACACCTTCAATTCGTAGGATTCCCTGCATTGTCATAAACCACATAATATATAATATTAGAGATGCACCAAAATTTTTAACAAATTTTTTGTATTATCTCAAGTCTTAATATATTTATTATTTAATTATGACATCACATGTTGACTTATTTGACTTAGAAGTTGAACCACTGACCCACTGCCTGGACAGAAAGGCGGTTCTGTTTGTGGGCCAGTTTTAAAATCAATGGGATCAGGTAGCAATGGGATCTGCTGCCAGAAAAATGCATGTTAACACACCAATGGCATGGCATCCATCAGCACATCAGGAACATCTTCCCATGAAAGTAACATACAAGTACAGGAGATGTTCTTGATGTTTGGCTGGATGCTTTGCTGTCAGTGTGTTAACCTGCTTTTTGCTGGCAGCAGATCGGGATCGGTCAGGTACATGTTTGAAGAGACCTTTTCAAGAAACCAATTCATGAATGAGGTCTACTTAGGTGAATTACAAACAACACTTCAGTACAAAGTGATCAGCCCCTCAGGTCTCTGGAACGGCAGATTGCAGAGCTTATTTATTATTCTGCTATAATGAATGGTCATATCTACATGGCTTATTAAGATAAAGAAACTGGCCTTTGAAATTGACTGTAAATAAGATTTTCTAAATGAAGAACATACCTAAAGAATCAGTTGGTTCAAACAGAAGAGGATGAAAAGTCTATTGACTCTCAAACAGGTGGCCAGGTGGAAGTGAGCCTTAGCTTTATCATGGGCCTAAACCCGTTCAGCATCCCAGGAATTTTTTTGATCAATAAAATTAAAGCTTTATTTGATTTTTGGAAAAGAATAGATCATATACAAAAATGTAAGTGTCCCATATGATTATTAGACCTCCCCTCCCCACCCAACGTCACTATTAAGTATTAACATTACATTTGTGCTCAAAGCAACATCTCAGGAGCTGTTCTATAGCAAATTAGTTATCCTCCAAAGAGAGAAGTTGCACTTCTCTCTTTTTTTTTATTCCAAGAAAGAAATTTGTTAGTAATATATCATGCCAAATTAGAAGTCTTGCCAATTAAAGCAAGTTCATAAAGATATTTGACTCATACTTGTAGGTAGTGGAGTGAGCACAATCTTTATAGAACTAGTTTACTACCTTTTGATAAATACCATGCCTTCCATGAAGGCCAATTTTCTGTTAAACCTCTCAGTCATAGGATCCTAGGTACTCTTTGATTTGCACCTTTCACTCAAGGGCAAGCCCAAATATAAGTAAAATACATATATCTTAGGGTAGTTCCCTAGGAAAATCAACATATTCATGAGAAGAAAAAGAAGAAAGAATAGAAAATTCAAAAAATATAGAGGCTGAACCCCTATTTTTGTTATAGGAAAAGAAGAAAAGGTGAAAATAATAAAAATAAACTGTTGCTAATACAACAATTAGGCGAGAGGCGAGCCACCGAGGGAGCCGTGTTGCCTAGGCGTCGCCTTGACAACTATGCCTCTGCCGAATCCTCCACCCTGGGTCCTGGCTCACATCATACATCTCACATTTTTGGAGATTTATCCTTATACCTGACATAACCTCAAACCAAATAAGAATTTTTGGGTCTTTCAGTTGCAATGTTCAAGAGAATACCTTAATAACACAAGTTAGTAAAGTAGCTAATGTTAGAACGATAAGAAAATTAATGTACGAAGCCACAAGCTGTAACTGAAACTGAACTTTGATAGTAGCTCTATGGGCGACCCAGGAAGAGCAGGCATTGTGGGAGTGATTAGAGACCATCATGGTTTGTGGTAGTGATGTATTCAGGTCCAGCTGGCTTAGGAGGTTCAGTCGAGGCAGAAATCATGGCACTTCTATAAGGTTTGAGGTTAACACAACAGCATTGTCTCAGATTTGGATGTTGAAGGTGACTCACAACAAGTAATTCATTGGGAAAACCGGCAAAGCAACTCAAAGAGCACCTTGGAATTACAGACATGTGTTTAGGGAAATTGATGTGATTGCAAAGCAATTAAATTCAAACTTCAGCTGGTTGAGAAGAACTGCAAATGGCGTAGCAGATGCACTAGCTAAACAGGGAGTTGGTAGGCCAAGTCCTTTCTGGGCAAACTTGTAAACTTTGTTACTGAAGGGTCTTGGGTATTGCCAACAGGTGTATTAAGTTTAATCTTTAATACTGTGGCCACAGGTCTTTATTTGGACCTATCAATTGTCCTCCCAAAAAGGGGAAAAAGAAGAAAAACCAGGAACAACATTTGGAATAAATCTTTAAGAGTCAACTGTAACATTGATCATAAACCACCTTTCTCAAAAAAAAAAAAAAAGAAAAGAAAAAGAGCATTGAACATAGACCATTAAAGCATAACAGTTGTGGGAATTCTAACTGGCCAGAACCTGACTTCTGATGGACATTGGCCACATAACTGACATCAATTATGTTTTCTTGCATTGTTAGCACTGGTTTGCTTCCCATTTTTCTCTAAGTACTGGATTTTTATGTTCCTGGTAAATGAATGTAATAAAAGCCCCATGTTCTTCCATTCTTAAATCTGAACTTCATATGTTTTTCCTAATCAAAAGAAAATTCATATCTTTGTAAGCTATGTATTTAACAAATTTATTTTGCAGAAAATGTACTTTTCTTAAAATTGAGGCATGAATGCCTGACCTTCATTTGACTTGTAATACTGCAGGAAATATGATCATATCTGGTGCTTAGCAGCTGAGTCTCCAAGAGTGTGAAGAACCCAAGGTGGGAGTTAAAATATGAAGCTGGAAGACATTTTCACACAACTTGAAATGATGGATGGGTTTGCTAGCATCCCTAGTGTTGAAAAGCTGGTTTGTTTTATGCAGCATGAGAAATCCTACAACACAAAAAGTGTTGTTGAAACAACTAATCATTTGTCCACCATTGCTGGTATTTTAACTGCTACGAAGAATATGGATTACCTGAAGCAATTTATTGAGTTGGGTGGCTTACATTGCTTAGACAGATGGCTTCAAGAAGCACAGAAGTATGGGAACATAAATTCTTCTGACAATAATGTAGAGGATCCAATAAGTACTGTGCTGGAAGCCCTCATAAACTTACCTTTGGACCAGCATTGTCTGAAAGCATGTGGAATAGGTACTACTGTTATGAATTTCCTTTCTCACAAAAATCCAAAAATTCAGGGGAAGGCAAAGAACTTATCTGATCAATGGGCGAAATTTACTGATAAAGAAAGTGCATTTGAGAAGTGTAGGGATCAAACTAGTCTTGACCATGAGAGCAGTGCTTGCAAGGGTGAAATGCTGCCAAAAATTGAAGGGGAACATCCAGGTTATGGGAATACTGTACCTCAAGATTTTCCACCTGGGGCATGTGTGAAAGGAGATGCAAACAGCTGGAAGTCACATCATTCATCATCCATTTCAAGTTCTAGCACTTTGCAATTTGAGGCTGGAAAGGATGTGAAAGATAACATTTCTGCTGAAGGAACTTCAGGCACAACTTTTAGCAGAAATTGTGGTTTTACATCTTCTACCAGTGAAAAGGATGTCGCAGTTGATGGGAGTCCAAGGAATCGTGAAGCCCCTGGAAGTTCCTTGGAAAGGACTGTCTCTGCACATGTTTCTGAAAAAAGTGAAATGGGATCAGAGACTGGTATGTCCTGTTGCCAAGAAGGTCAGAAGTTGGCTTCTGGGGAAGAGAAAACTAATCAGGAGAATGCTGGTGAAGATGGTGCATCCTTGATGCCGTTGGGGCTTGATGATGGACACTCAAAAACTGAATCTTCGTCCTCCAACTCAAAACATGTCATCCTTCCAATTTCTTCTTCAAGTGATAGCTGCCATAAAACATCAATGGATGCTGAGTCATGCATTGGAAGTAAAAAAGGAACTGGTAAGAATAACTCTGTCTGTATTGGCTTCAAGTGCAGCCTAGCAGAATCTCCAGGAAGAAAAATGACTTGGGGATTATCAGAGCATGGATCATTGGATTATTGGAAAAAAATCATGGAGTGGAAGCCTGAAAAACAAATTGGTTCATGTGTAACTCCAAAGGCCACTTCAGACACTTCTGCTGCATTACTTGGACATGGTAATATTGGCAGAACATCCCAAGCTGTTGAAATTCACACTTCTGTCACATTGCTTGGAAAACAAGGTAATCCAGGTAAAACTTCACAAGCTGTTAAAGTTTCGACAGAATGTGATGCTGCAAAGGTGTTAGAAAAAATTGCAGAAGAAAATTCTAGGGTCCTGGAGAAGGCTGATGGCCCAAAATCCAGGCTGCTGCAGCAGAAAAATGCAGAACGTGTAGCCAGAGAAGACACAGAAATGGAGCTCACATATGAGATGGATGATGCATTGGAGGTGGCCCGCCGGGTTGCAAGAGAAGTGGAGAAAGAGGTTGGTACTTACAGGGAAGCCTCAGGAAGCTCCTCTTCAATAGAGGACCGGAATGGTCATGCAATCCATCAAAGTACTGCTGATTCTTTGGGACCTAAGGCAAAATTTTGTTCTGAGGAAAATGTAGACAAAAGTGAGCTATGCAGTGAACAAGAGAAGACAGATAGTTGCTGTTCAATCAAGGAGGAGATGGAACCAGAAATATCAGCCAGAAATCAAAATCCATGCATGGGGGTGAAAACCCTGTCACAAGAGATTGGTCCAACAATTGTCCATGAAAAGAATGATGGTGTCCGTGAACAAGAAGCATCTAAGTTGACTACAGCACCTGAAGATGAAGCTCCCGATAACCAGATAACAAGCTTTCGTGGCTTTGATTTGAATGAAGACATTAAGACAGAGGAAGCAGACCCTGATCCATCAGTGACTGAAACTATTTCTTCTTGTCATGTAAATGTTTCAACACCAATTCCTGTAGTGGCCACCTCAAGGATTCCTGCTTGCTTGCCTAAGGCACCATTAAAATTTGAAGGGGAGCTAGGTTGGAGGGGATCTGCTGCAACTAGTGCATTCAAGCCTACCTCACTTTTCAAGACTTCCAATAAAGAGAAGGCATCTTTCACTGATGACACCAATTACAGCTCGAGACATTCACAGGGTTTTCAGGGTATTGACCTAAATGTAGCTGATGGTGGAGATGATTCAGTAATGGAATTATTCCCAGGAAAGCATGCTTCAGTTTCCTCAGCACTCCTTTCTGGTGAGTCATCTCTGGAAGTTGGTTCAAAACGAGCGGAAAGATTAAATCTGGATCTTAATCGTCTTGGTGATAATGAAGATTACAGCCCACAGCTATCGTCTGAATGGAAGACAGAAAACAAACATCATCTCCCCATTAGTGGGGCCTGCAACCCTTCTCCAACATTTTTGAAGCCATCTGTTAGGGATATTGATTTAAATGATAATCCATCCATTGGAGAAGCTCGCAATGATGTTCCCAGATCAAGTGAAAGCATCCAATGTTTGAGAAATGGGGCATTAAATGGTTCTGCTTTCTCAATCATGGGAACAACTGTACAGCTAGGTTCCAATAATGTTATATCTGCACCAACATCTGCTTTGAATTCTGTGCAGGCTTTTGGTCATGATCATGACAGAAAGGAGTTTATGCACCCATCCCAACCCTTTCTAATGGCTGGGCCGGGTGCTATTCCTTCGGTTGAGCAAGGAGGAAAGGTGGTTGCTCTACAGCCAACACTAGCTTATGCTCCATCTCCTGCTTTCTCCTATAATAATGGGTTTGCTATTGGTCCTTCAGTCCCTCTCCCATCCACTATATACCCGTCAGGTGTTGTGCCATATATGATAGACACACGTGGGGCCACTATCATACCACAGATATTAGGTTCAAGTACTCTACCCACCTATCCAAGAGCCCCTTTTATCACAGAGATTGCTGGTGGACCAGGTGCTGGCAATGTTACTATTGTAAGGCCTGGTCTTGATCTCAATGCAGGGGTAAATACATTGGAGCAGGAAAGCAGGGGAGGGAATGTCAGACACTTGTTTATTCCTGCAACTACTACATTAGTGGAAGAGCAAATGAAGTCCTTTCAGCAAGTTGCCATGTCTGGCCCACCCATGAAGAGGAAAGAACCAGATTGCGGGTGGGACTCTTACCAGATTGGCTACAAACAGGTGACTTCATGGCGCTAAGTATCTACTTTCTACAGCTTACCAAACTCACAATTATATTAAGGTTAAGAGGGTTAGGTCTTTATATATAAATGTATTCATACATGTCGCTGCTGTTGTAGATTTGACAGTGCTGAACTGGATTCTGGACTTGCATACATAGCCATTTTGACTCAGACATCCTGCAATTGCAGCATGAGAATCCCTTAAACAGAATGAGTCCAGTTATAGGGGCTAATGCTTCTCCTTTTTTCCTTCTATAATTTGTTATTTTACCACTTATGAAATCAGTCTATACTGACTAGTTCTGTACATGTTACATATTTAACTTTTAACACATGCGATCAATCTCAACTATAAAATGAAGATCCTGCAACCACCATCTAGAGCCATGACACTGGTTGGTGGTATATTCTTAACAGTGCTCTGTTTTTTTTTTTTTAATTTATCCTGTACTAATCTTTTTTGACGCCACTTGACATTATACATTAGTACTTGGTCTACTTTTCTTTCCTCTCTTGACAGTTACCCGGGACGGTTTGCATTGAATATTGGATAAACATGTTCAGCTTGCAAATATTTCTTAGCCTTTAAAATGATTCTGCATTTATTCCTCTAAACTTAAAACTGTTTATATAAGCTGCCCCGCCCTCCCCCTTTTCCACATTATATCCTAGCATCTCTGAAAAAATAAAATTATCGCATGCTTGCTGCATGGGATTTGTGCACCATGACGAACAAGCTTACAGTGGGGCATTCTGCTCAACAATATGTACACTTTTGTGGAACCATGTATTGACCAAGTATATGTTTGGCATCGATGCTGATGCTGCATAAACGGTGCTGTATATGTGGGTTGGAAGCACTATTTTCTGAGAAAAATGTTGCTGCCAGGTAAGACGTTTCCTGGGGCAACAACACCACCTTCTGTTTGGTATCAGTGCTCCATATCTGTTTTCAGCACTTGTACCCGTTATAGGAAGTCCATGTCACTGTCACATCATCATGTCTTTGTTGACAGCAACGGGCTCCAAATTGAAAAAATGTCGAATTCGGTGTTTTCCCATACTACGTTTTCTCGATTTCCAAGGTGTAGTTTGGAGTACTGTTTTTTTCCAACATGTTACCCTTTTCTGAAGTACTGATTTTTTTTAATGTGGCACTGATGTGTCACTGTTTTCTGGAGCAATGGAATCAATGTCAAACACCACCCAAGTCATCAACCTCTATTAGGTAAAGAATTACATGTCCTATATGCTACTAATCTTTCGTAATTTATACTTAGATCAAGAAAACGGTCCTACATGGAAACCTTTTTAGCTTAAGTTGATGTGGTTCTCTGAGGATAGGGATGACCCCGATATGGGGTAGGATAGAAAACTATGGGCTTGTCCTCATGTTCAAAACAATTCCAATTTGGGGGGTGATAACTGTTTAGTAAAGTGGCGTGTTCCAGTGTTGTCATTGCATTTTGGGTTGATCAATATGAGAAATATATTGTGCCACATCATATATGACTATTATCATCCCAATTAGAAAAAATGCATGTCCCAAAAACACCAATTTCACCTTTTAGGCAGACATCGCAATTTGTATTTATCAGCTCAAAACATTTCAGGTAACGTAGTCTTTAAAAACCATCTCTAATATATTGTTTGGTACCATTGGTGTTTCAACCTGCAGCATTGCTGCATTTGGAGTTGAAATACTGTTTATGCTTTAGAAAAAAAGTGCTTATACTTGAAATACCAACATTAATTTTCGTATTTAAATTCTTTTTGTGAGAAATGTGTTTTTCATCCACGTTAGTAGCAGATCAATAAAGGTGCAGAGACTTTCTAAAGCAGAAAATATTAAATTGAGAGTTTTTTGGAACACTCCCTAGCATAGATTTTCATGCTAAGTGTTTTATGACTTTTAATTAGGGCTGTCAATGGGTCATCTTTCCCAATTAATAATTGGGTTGGGACCATTTTTTGTGAGTGGAATTTTTGTTAGACTAAAATACCTTAATTTTTTAGTTTGGTTCTCTAATTGTAGGGATAAAAATGTAATTTGAATAATCACTTTTCTCATTTAAACCCCTTTCATTATGCCATATTTAAGGTATTAACTATATTGACATTCATTGAATCCTAATCTTGACTACAAATACCCCTATTTTTTGAATTTGGTCTATCCCTAATGTAAAATCACAAAATATAATTCAAATTTTCAAACTATTACATTTAACATCATTCAATTCTCTCTCATTAAGATTTATATTTATCATCAATTAAATATTTCTAAATACCAAGATTACCCTAATGAGAAATGGGACTATTGTTGTGGAAATACAAACCAAAGTGGCATGTGCCATTAGTCAGCATGGTCCCAATGGACGGAACTCCGTCACCATAGAATACAAAACACCTAGCCTAACTGAACAAGCAACTCTATGAGTGCTGGTGTGCGAAAGCTATTGCTTGTTGCTAGCAGCAATAAAATGGTTGCACATTAGCGCCACACTAGCCATTCAACCTGTTGCTTGCACAGTATTTTTTCATCATGTTTTATGTGTAGGAACACATTGTAGTTTGATTCACTCGATCTATCTCTTCCACTGAGTTGTACCAAGAGTTAGGCTAGGGGTACAAATGGATTGAATCATGATCCAATCCTATTTGGTCAAATTCGGATCATTCCTGTTTGGATATCAGATCGAATCGGATAATAGGATTATATTAGAAATTGAATCGAATTCAGATCACTCCCTATCCGATCCGATATATATTATATATTTATAAATATATATATATACATATATAATATGTTATTTATTTTTTATAAAAAACATGTATATATATGATGAAAATAATTAAAAAACACTTGTATTTTTTGTTTTTATTTTATTTAAATTATTGTATTTTATTTTCTTTTAATTATTTATTAATTTATATTATATTTTTCTTTTAAATTAGTATATTTGATCGAATCGGATCAGATCCGAAGATCCAACTTACCGATAGGATTTGAATTCAAATCGAGTCCTATCAAATCAGATCGTATCTTTGGATTGGACCAGATCTGACATGAAGGAGAATGGGGCCTAAGATGAGATAAGTTTGACATCATTATGGGATCAGATCCCTTGGACACTCTCCGCCATACTCCTTACTAGTAGGTGTTTGACATCATTGCTGTTTATCCCAAAAGTGGCACCACATTTCAAATCTGTTGATGCTCGGCTTGGCCAAGGGCAACAAAGTAATTTCACTCCCAAGCTTCAAGAGAAAGTCGAAGGCTTTGAGGGGGCCTAGGGAGTTTAGTTGAGGCTGAGGACTGGAGGCCAAAGCGCATCACTCCTTGGGGTATTGTAGAAGTCGAGGGTTGGTACCGAGAAGAGTGTCGAGGTGTGGTTCTTACAATGATGAACCTACAAGGGAGAAGGTGTCAGAGGCCTCGGGTGGTGACCCGAGGCGAGGACTCTGACGATTAAGTTAGTATGTATAAGAGGTAAGTGACGAGTCTAGAGCCGAGGGGTCCAGACGAGGTCTCAGATAACACTAGAGATCACAAGGTTTTCTACTTAATCCTCCCTACCTTGTGGGGGTGCCTTGCATTTATAGCCAGAGCTGCCAGGGGGCAGTTGGCTCGGATAGTCCAAATGCGAGCCGTACGAGGGCCTGGCGAGATGTTTTGCCAATGCCACATGGCGTCCTGCGAGTGGGTCCACCTGATCCGCATTAGGTAACCCTAAGCATCCTCATGGTAAGCCTATGCGGGCGTCTTCCATTCGACATGCGTCAGCCTTGTACAGGCCAGATGAGTGTGCCTACATCACTTGCCCCCACTCCCAAGGCCAAGGTGGGGGTTTGAAAGGGGCCTCAGCTTCGGCCAAAGGGAATGTCGATAGTGGTAGGTGCCATTGGGCTTGTTAGGTGGAGTGTACCCTGTAGTGGCGTTGCCTTCGTCCTGCTTCTACTTTGATACGATTATAGTTCATGGAAGAGTGGTGAGGCTGCAGATACTTCGGCTTCAGTTAGGGAGTCCGAGGTGGAGGGGCCCGACTAAGCCAAGCCTGTGCCTTATGCTTATGCAATGCCGATCTAGGGGCCATGCATGGTATGGGGTTCACTGGCTGGTGCGCCGGGGTCGTGCCGATATGGTTTGGCGCGAACAGAACCCTCAATGGGGGGAGGGGTGCTCTGGGCGGACCAGTGGGTTGTAGTGAGCGTGCTAGTCGGTTTGCTCAGTGTTGTTTCGTCTTTCCGAAGTTAAGTGTCGGTTCACTAGGCGTTGTTTCACTTCCTTGAGGCTAGGCACGTGCTGGTTTCCTAGGTGTCGTTTCGCCTCCTCGAGGCTAGGCACGCGCTGGTGTACCAAGCGTCTTTTTGCCTCCTCAAGGCTAGGCACGTGCTAGTTTACCATGCGTTGTTTCGCCTCCCCAAGGCTCGAGCGTCGAGTGTCGCACCACTGGTGGTTAGCGAAAGTGAGGGCCTCATGACCATTGGTTCTGGCGGGATTTGAGTCGTTCATTTTCCTATAAATAGGGGCCTTAGTAGCGAATTTTCTTCGTCATTTGTCTTTAGGCGCCCTTGCTGTTGAGTGAACTTTGCTCTCAGACCTTCAATCCTTCAATACACCTCGTTTCCACTTTCTTCACCCTCGTCTCTTAGGTAACTATCGAACCATGTCTTTCTCAAACTCTGGCCCTAAGTGCTATGAACTTCTGAATGGTTCGGAAGGGATCTCTCTTCGGACTCCTTCCCCCCTTTCTCCTCTGGGTCCTTTGGCATTCATCCCCCTTCAGCAAGAGGTGAGGGTGCTGAGGGAAAGGGTAGCCTCTAGGGGTGCCGAAGGCAACCGCCAAGGCGATGACCCTCCTTGTGAGAGCACCACATTTGTAACGCTGAGGGGGAGCAGATCCCACAGCCCGTCCTGGGGCGATGGCCGAGAGCACTGCCCAAAGGGTGGTGAAGGATGATGTTCCATATTCGGAGTTCGAGAGTACTCTGGATGTGGATCAAGTGCAATCCCTAGCTAGGAGGTTTTACATACCTCGGTCTTACCAGCTTAGGGTTCTTGACCTTGGCGATCGGCCGTGGACCCCCAATGAGGGGGACATTTGTATATACCAACACTTTCTAGAATTCGGCCTTAGGTTCCCACTTCACCCTTTGATCTCCGAGCTGCTGGAGTAGTACGACGTCACGATTAGTCAGCTCATCCCCAATTCCGTTAGAACCCTCATAGCCATGCTAGTGGACTCTGCTTCGGGATGTAGAGTTGACCCCGAAGATGATTTGCACCATGTTTGTGCCGAGGAAGCACACTTCCGAGGCCAGCATGTACTACTTGCAGTAGCGGAGGGGGAGGCCGGTTGATAACCCCTCGTCCGTCCACAACTGGAAGGGCAAATTTTTCTTCATCTCCTACCCCGAAGGTTGGTCGTTCAGGTCAAAGTGGGGAATGGCTTGCACGATGGTTGAAAAGTGTCCCCCTCCGCTTCGGGACGAGGAGGC